CGGTAGGGATGGTGGCCCGGAAGCCCCTTCCTCTGGGCCAGGAGAGGCAGGACAGAAGGTGGCCCAAAAGCCCTTTCCTCTGGGCTGGGAGCAGTGGGAGGGATGGTGGCCGGGAAGCCTCTTCCTCTGGACCATGAGCAGTGGGACAGCGGCTCAGAAGCCCCTACCTTTGGGCCGGGAGTGGCAGGACTCAGTACTGTGGTCTGGTGGTCCAGTGTCCTCTGCGTCTTTGTAGTGTGGAACCAGGTGGCTGTACAGAGGAGCGGGGGTGGGGGCTGTCCAGTGGATTGTTGCTGGGGCGTGGGCTGATTCGGTGTGTTCCCTGTTCTGAGTGACTCCTGACCTCGGTAGGGTGTACCTTTTGTTTTGTTTTTTTGAGATAGGGTCTCACTATCTAGTTCAGGCTGGCCTCAAAGTCATGGCAATCTTCCTGCCTCAGCCTCCTGAGTGCTGAGATTACAGGCATGAGCCACCACACCCAGCATGTCCATTATTTCTTATGGGGAAATTTACTTTGAAATACAAGTGCTTTGGATTACAAGCATGCTTCCAGAACAAATTATCCTCACAAACCAAGGTTTTACTGTACTCTGAAATAAGAGTGGAAGTCAAATTTGGTACATTGTTTTTGGAGAATAATCTGGTGAATTTAGTGAAGTGCAAATCACCCTTTCTGTGCCCCAGAAATTCTCTTAGCTATATACCATGAACTAAAGAAATTCTCACATATATAAGGAGACTCAGACATGAGTGTTTTGATAACTCGCTAGTCATATGAAGTAGACTGGTAAAACCTAAATGCCTATTCACAGGAGACTAGCTGAATAGTGACATCATGACATCAGCCACAATATTTAAAATGAAAGAGGCAGAGCAATGTTTACATGGATGCATTTAAAGAATCTGTAAAGTGTGATAGAACATCTCAGTGCAAGATCTATAGGTTTTTCTGTTGTATCAGAAATGGTTCATCAAAATAACTTTATAAAGAAGTTTCTTCACCAAAGTTTCTTTCATTGTGTTTGACAAATTATAAATGAAAGTAATCAAGGTAATAAGATTTGAAACAATTTAAAGTTAGAAAATTATGTACCTCAATCTCCACTTAAAAGCCCAACCCACGGCCAACTCCTTGCTCCTTGCATCCAAAGTAACATTCATTTTTCTGTGATGTTTGACCCTAAAAATACTCATGTAGTTTTAAGTAACTTACCAAACAATTTTCATGAGCAGCTATGTTCTCTGATTGTGCAAAGTATAGTACACTATAGTCGGTACCTTTGGGGCAGAGTGCACATGTCCTTTTTTCCATCCTTTCTGCAACCTGAAAGACACCTATAAGTAACATCCTTGGTGAGAAATGGAAAAAAGAGAATTTTATAGTCTTGCTAATTCCTCCTCTAATCTTTTTTTTTTCCTATGTAGCCCAGGCTGGCCTCGAACTCTAGTGATGAAATTATAGGCAAGTGTCACCATGTCTGCCTCCTCCTCTGATTTTACTTTTTTTTTTTTGGTACCGCGGATTGAACTTGGGACCCTGTGCTTGTGAGGCAGGGGGCAGAACCACTGAGCTAAATTCCCAGCCCCTCTTCCTCTGATTTTAAGTAGAAGACAGGGCACTTGTATTTATGAGAGTCTCAACTCCCAAAAAGACACACACACACACACACACACACACAAAACACACACACGTTGGAAACTTATTTATTTTAAAATGGGCTTAGTAATAAAAGAAATAATTCATTTAAAAACGCCTAAAAATGAGGAAAATCTCTAGTCAAGAAAAATAACCAGGGGGCTGGGGATTTAGCTCAGTGGTTTCATCGCCTGCTGTGCAAGTGCAAGGACCCAAGTTTGATCCCCGGTACCAAAAAAGAAAAGAAAAATAACCAGGAAAAAAAGAGAGAAAAGAACCAGGAATATAAATATAAGCAAGGCTCTCAAAAAACACTACCTTGCTCATAGCAAGCTCTTTGTCATTATAAATTGACAAGAAAGCAATGAAGCATTCAAGAAATAGTCCTTTGCTTAACTATCTGTAACAAAATTACGTCCCTATATCATACTATATTCAAAAATTAACTGCAGGAGAACTAAGCAAATGAACAATGTAATTTAAATGTGCTTTGATTCAATATTATGATTAGCTAGGAGAGAAAGATTCACAAAGAGGTTTTGTTTTGGTTTTTTTGTTTTAGGAGAGGAATGAAAGTAAGGAACCTAAGGGAAGAAGAGCGAGGAAGAAAAGGGAATTTGCAGACAGCCGCAAAAGGCCAGTTGTTGGGAACATTCCCACCCATGTTGTCAGTTAAGAGGCAAAATTCTGAAATCTGTTAATTTGCTATTAATCTGGCCACAAGCATCCATTTAAGATTTAAAAAAATTTTTTTTTCCTGTTGCAATGCTCATCCTTGTTTGGTTTTCTATAGTAGTTCTCTATATTTAATACTCAAATTTTAGTTTGAAACCAATTTATTTTGCCACTGGTGAATGTTCCCACTTTTTCTCCCCTTCCTCCCTCCCTCCCTCCCTCCCTCCCTCCCTTCCCCTGTGGGTCAATTCTTTCTTTTTACAAAATTAGAGAAGACTGGATTTGAAGCTAGTGTGTATTTTACATTCAGATGAATTTCTTCCATAATTCACCTGTTTCCTGGATTTGGGTCCTGTCCAGTGAGGATACCAATTAGTAGTCCCACATTCCCCAGCAACCAAAAAAACCAGATTAGATAGAGTAAAAACTGCTCAGATATCTGAGACAGGAGGATTGCTTCGGGTTCAAGGTCAGCCTGGACTACACAATAAGGTCCTGTCTCAGAAAAAACAAATAAAACTGCTCAGATGAAATGGGCTACCTAGTTTTCACTCATCTCAAACAACCACCAACTTGGGACCACTTCTTGTGTGTGAGCCCCTGTGTTGGGTTCACTAGGCTGATGCTGTCTACCAGAAACAGAAAGCCAGTCACAAAGGTGAGCCACAGGTGTCAAGAAAAACTTTCTAGAAGTCTCATTAAAAAGGCAAAAAAAAAAAGGCAATAAAGTAGGGGATTTAAGCTCAGTGGTTCTGGCATCTGCATCGCAAGTACAAGGTCCTGAGTTCAATCCCCAGTACCAAAAAAACCCAAAAAAACCCCAGGTGAAATTAATTTTAATAATATATTTAAATTCGACCAACTACATCCAAAGACATATCCCTTCAATATTTAATAAATATAAGAATCATTCATTGAGTCTTTGAAATCCAGTAGTAGTATGTGCTTAAAAGTGCACTGGGGAGGGGAAAGAGGGGAGGGATAGAAGATGAGAAAAGAAATTGGGATGTGTAATGTATGTGCACCAACTTCACACAAGGAATGTAAATATTATGCACTACAAAACATACAAAAACAACGACACCCACACCCCCCCACACCCCTGCCCCCAAAACAAAGGAATCAAGAGACAGGTGGATCAGGGAGGGAGGGGGAAGGAAAGGGATTGAAAAAAGGAACTGACATTATGTATACATACCAACTTTCCACAAGGAATGTAAACATTATGTGCTATGCACATGTACGGTACTATGCATATGAACTAAAATAAAAAATTTTTAAGTGCATTACAGCTGGGAATGGTGGCACATGCCTGTATTCCTAGCTACATGGGAGGATAAGGCAAAAGTCTGCAAATTCAAGGTCAGTATGGGCAACTTGGCAAGACCCTGTCTCAAAAATAAAGTGTCATCTCTTTTTTTTTTTTTTTTTTGGTACTGGGGATTGAACTTGGGACCTTATGCTTGCGAGGCAGGCGGCAGAGCCACTGAGCTAAATCCCCAACAGTGTCATCTCAATTGGATCAAAAGCCACATTTTAAGTGCTCAAGAGCCCCACGTGGCGAGTGACTACTGAACAGTACAGAAGCTACTAAGAAATGTGAGGCAGAGAAGTCTATAAGAAGCTTACAAAATAAACAAGGAGGTAAAGTAGCAATTAGGGAAATAAAATAACAAGAAAATGTCACAAAGTAATAACTGCAAAGTGAGTGAGAAATACTATAAATACTATGTAGGTAGACAGGGAGGGCCCCTATGGGCAGGCATGCTGTTAAGGGTGTGGACCTTGAGCTGCCACAATTTGAAGAGGAAAAGGAGGGACATTACAGGCAGAAGAAACCCTGTGGGAAAAGGGCAAGAATCTGAACAGGAGAGAGTAAGCCACAACTTTCTGGAGCAGGGAAAGAACATGATGACAAAGTTATTTAAAGATGCTCAATTTTGACTGATGGAGAGAAGTTCTGTGCTCTTGGAATAGAAAAGTTGGATATTATAATGATGTCAATTCTAACCCTAGTAAGTTTTAGGTTTAATGTAATTGTAAACAAAATCCCAAGAAGATTATTTTAAGGAATTTGAGAAAAATGGTTATTTGGAAGAATAAACGATCATAGGCAGTGAAGAAAACTGGGGGGGGGAGGGGGAAGATATCAATCTACCTGATTTAAAAAACATACCAGGGTATAGCTAGGACAGATGTTAAGATGACCAAATCAAAGGAAAGAACACAAAACAGAAGTAGATCATAATCTGCCCTTGTGAATTTAATACATGGTAAGGTAGCAGTTTTTCTCTGGCATCTATGTCCTTAGCTAATTTCTCTATTGAATTTCTACTTTTTGGTTTGTAAGAGTTTGTCATGTTCTCAGGGTATTAATACTTTGTTAGTCATATATATATATATATATAGTTTTTTAACTTTATAATGTTTATAATGTTCTTTAGTATAAAGAATGTTTCAGTGTTTTATTTGATGAAATTATAACAGTTTTTATCATTTCTACTTTTGGGTAAGGGGGATGTCCTCAGGAAACACTTAACTATTTTTCTACCACTTTTATTTTTTACACTTAAATATTAATACAGAATTATATATCTTTTCATTTTAAAAAGTACATATTATATATGTAATAGATATGGTAATACATATTTTATGTATATTCTTGTGCTTCTATCTTATTCCACTGACCTTCCTCTATCAATACTACACATAAAAATTTTTTTTGACAGTTGCGTACAGTGTGCACATCTGTAATCCCAGCACTCAGAGGAGGCTGGGAAGCAGGAGGATCACTGTGAATTCAAGGCCAGCCTGAACTACATCGCTAGACCTTGTCTCAAAACAAAAACAACCAAAAAAATTTAACACTTTAGAATATATTTTAATATTTGACAACACAAAGCCTCTTGTCCCAGGATAAAATTGGGGGCAGGGGAAATCCCAATATTCTAATCACCTCATCAAATCTACTTTGTATCAAGTTCTACTTTGATAGCATACTGTGATCTTATTTAAAAGGACATTTAAATCTGACATTATAATTTACATTTTGAATTCAATCCCAGTACCAAAACCCTTCAGAACAACCATCCCTACAAAAAAAAACCTACCAAAAAATCTAGAGGCTTAAAAAAAATCAGGCAGTTAAAATACTAGTGCCAACTCTTGAGTACCATGTCTTTTACAATCACACTGTCTGACTGGAAATTCAGTTACACTTGTATAACTACCGGACATTTTCACTCAGTGTTGCTCTTTTCTGTGTGCAGCTGGAGACCACCTGCAGACAGGTTCGCTGCATGGGCTGATAGCTGAGCCAGGCCTCCTGTGCTTGCTCTGTGGGCTCTGTGCCCAGTCTGAGCTGCACTCCCAAGTACTTGGGCTCCTAAGATCTCAGCAACTGGAAATCCAGAATTGGTGACCAATGAATAGAAACCCGACATGGGACACACAGGCTCTCCCTAATGGCTTTTTTTCTTACTAAAATTCCCTGTATCACAGTACCCTAAAAGATACTTGGCTTTTTAACTCATTTATTCTTCTTGACTGGACGAAACTCCATAGTTGGGGAAGTCACGGTGGGAACTAGCAAACAAATCCTGGGGCAAGTTTAGCTGTTGAGGACCCACAAAAACAGCAGGGGGTGGCAACATCAAATCAGATAAGGACATGGGTGAACTGAAGTCAGGTTGTGTGTATTCTGATGGCAATACAAGGCAGCTATGCTCACCACTACACCACCAACATACACTCTGAGGGCAGTGGGAGAGTACTGAATGGTTCAGAGTAGAAGAATCACCTTTGCTTTTTGTATTTTAAAGGCCATTTTTGGCTGCTATGCAGGTATGAAAGCCTGTTTGAAAGGCTGAAGCAGAAGCCAAAACAATAGTCCAGGATTGGACAGCAGTAATGGAGGTGGTAGGTGGTGGTCAGGCATGTCATATTCTGAAGACAAACTGACTGGCTTGAGTATTAGAGGCAAGTGGTAAGGGCACTGCTAAAGTTTTTTGGCCTAAGCAACTGGGCTAACGAGAGGTGGTGCCTGAGCACATTACAGAATGTGGGCAGAGTGGGGAAAACAGGAGAGTTCTCTTTGGAACATACTCAGTTTGAGATCATTAAAAACATGGGGAAAGATGGTCATACCATCCTGGATTTGAGTGAAAACACCCTCTCTTCCGAAACCCTTTCCTAGTACATCAGGCGATGTACGAGGGGCTCTGACCACTTTCCACTAAAGCCGCCTATTGTATTCGCTAGGGCAGGGGCTGCATAACTCATCTTTGTACCCTCAAGACCTAGCCCTGAGCCCAGCATCGTAGGAGGCTCACACGCGTTCACAGAGCCCGCTCAGACCACTCTCCTCAGCCAAGGGCCTACACTGGTGGCGATGGCTATGGCACGAGTGCTTCCACCGGCTGTTTAACTAGGAGCTCTAAAAGGTTCCCCAGAACCGATGGGCCAGCCCTTCGAATGGAGAGGAGGAGCTGGCTTCCAGACACACCCTCCGTGACCTCTTCCCCGGGTCTCTTCTCAGCACCACCGCCCGGTGGGCGGGTGGAGTGGCTCCGGGAGTTATTCTGGGATTTCTCCCAGCGGGCGATAGTAGCTTCCGTGGGCCAGGGGTGGGAGTCTGCGGCCCGCTCCTCACCAGCTGAGGTAGACGCTGCTGTGCACCGCCCGTGAGTGGCCAGCGCGGGCAGGGAAGGGCAGGCCGGAAGCCACGCGCGTACTCACCGGTGGGGCGGGGAACCTGGTCCCGGGCAGGCTGGGTGTCGGGGTCGCCCGATAGCTCGGGCGGCGACGGTGACGGTGACAGAGACGGAGACGGGAACGCCTGAGCCATGCCTACTTGCTGCAGTGGCCGGGAGGCGCGCTGCGTCGGCGCTCCCGGAAGTGCGGGGCGGCGCTGTTGTTTCCTCAAATCCCGGCGCTCTCCGCGAGCAGCCCTCCACCCGGCGAGTCTGGGGGTTGGCACTAGGGTGCCAGAGACGCGTCGGCTCTGACGTTGCCCCAGCAGGACTGCAATTTGAACAGTTTGAAAAAAGAAAAATACGCCAGGTCAGGCGCCCTTACCATGCCGTCAAGCCCCACTGTGCTCCGTCGGCTGAAGAACCGATCGCTCTTCCCAAGGTTTGTTCTGAAAGTTTTATCAGGAGAGCTTGGCCTAAATAGACGTCTAAATGGACGCAGAATTAACCGACCCTAAATCCAGTTGCAGTAACAGGCCTTTATTTAGCACCCATGGGGTACAGAGCACCATCAAAGACGAAGTTTTCAGTGGATGTAACAAATACACATGTAGACAACGTAAGTACATATAATTTAAAAAACCAAGTGCGATGGCCCACACCGTAATCCCAGAATTTAGGGAGTAAGACAGGAGGATCCCAAGTACAAGTCTTGCCTGGGGCAATTTAGTGAGACCCTGTTTTAGAAAAAGAACAGGAAAGAAAGGAAGGAAAAAAAGGGAAGGGGAGAGAGTGAAGGAAAAAAAAAGTTCTGGAAAAGCAGCATATAATAGTTGGTTTGTTGAGGAACTACTCTAAGGAAAACTTCTGAAGGTGTCGCACTTTGAGGAAGGTCTAAAAGGCGAAAATGCAAATTGGAGACATCAGAAAACAGAAACTGTACTAAAACGGGCAACTTAGTCTTGACTATTTTGAAATGGATTAAAGACTAGGAGTTGCAAGACTAGACATAAGCAGACCCTAGTACCCAAGTTGTCTTCCGGTAGGAGGATGAAAGTGTAGCCCTTCCAGGCCCCACAGGAAGCCCTGAACAAACTAACATTAGGGAGTTTCTCAACAAAACAGCTCAGGTAGGTCATGGTAAAGCAGCCCAAGGCCCCTTGCACCGGCTCTGAAATATGAGTAGATGACCAATAACTAATTCTAAGGAAAATCTGTAACATGAAAAATAAAGACCAAAGCAAACATACAAGAAAAAGGAAACCAGAATAGTGAACATGGTAGAAAGATATTAGATATGAATGCATGTATATAAAATGGTATCTAGGTTTACAAACTTAATTTGTTTTACGATTTTGGGGAAGATGGCCACGGTCTTGTCACCAGATGCAGTTTGTGAATAGAAGCAAAATTTTGTGGAACACTTTTGTTTGAGAATCGAATTGTCTGCAGACAGAGGTGTTCGTGAACCAAGGTATTACTGTATATATGTGTATACATACACAAACACACACACACACACAAATACTATCTTCAGAGAGATAAAATATTGTAACCATGGGCCAAAATAAGCTATTAAAGAAAATATTCAAAGAAACGCACTTAGATATTAAAATGAGACCAGGAAAATAAAATGCAATCGGTGAATTTGAAGGTTAAGTTGAGGAAAGTTTCTAGAAAGAAAAGCAGGAAGTCAGAGCTGGAAATTAAAAGAAAATGAGAGAACCAGTCCTGCAAGTATAACATTTATTTATTTATCTATTGGTACCAGGGATCAAACTCAGGACCTTGTGCTTACAGGCTTGGTGCCACTGAGCTACATCCCTGGCAGGTATAACATTTAGATAACAGGAATTCCAGAGAAGAGATGAGAAATCCTTATAGAAATAATTTAAGAAAATTTTTCTGTACTGAAGGACTTAAATTTTCAGACTGAAAGCTCTTACCAACATCCAGTAAAAGAAATAAAAGGGACAGAACATCGTGCCAGAGATAATCCTATAAACAAATTTTTTTGCAAATAACTCCCAAAGTTGTTTTGTTTTTTGGTGGTGCTAGGGACTGAATCTAAGGCTTCATGCATGCTAAGCAAACATTCTCTCAAATATTTTCACACTTGAAATTACATCTGATTTCATAAAACAATGTGCCATCAACCATTTGAGTGGGGACGAAGAGAAGCTTTTGAGTAAATTTCTATGACACTCTTTGAGATGAATTTTCTTTTACAGTTTCTCCTTCAATACAAGAGGGAACAGAAACCTGAAGGAACTTGAAAAACAGCTGAATTCTATTGTGACCTTCAGTTTTCTTAATATATAATTTACAAATAAGTTATTAAATGTACAGTGGTATTTCATATAAAACATACACTTCCATTCTACTCATAAAAACAAGAGACATTTTATGTCTGAAAAATGTCCTTATTTTGTTCTTGGCATTTCTACACAACACAAATAAAATTAGATAGAAAATAAACCCTTATAAGGGTAAATAAAGGAATTACACCAACCTAAATTCTGATAACAAGGTTCTTTTGAATGGTTCTAATTTTAGCCTAAAACACTAACTTCAAGACAGGTATTAGGAACATATTTATAATATTTTTTTTCTACACTTATTAGCCCCACATTGGCAAAGGATTTCCTTGTTAGGCAAAGTCCCAGCTTTATAACCATAATCCCACGTTAGTTCTGTTCTTGCTTTCACAAACCTAGAAAATAGAAATTAAAAAGAATCATAAATCACTCTAACCATACATAAATCAAACCTGAATATGACAATTTCATATTAACATTTTTAACCATCCTAAAAATATAATTTTCTCTACATGACACCTAACAGGATTAGGAATAATCATCTGAGTTTTATTCCAAATCTACCAAAGTCCTAAGTAAGAAGGAAGCCGTTAATATCGATAATGAAGTATGTTGTACAAATGTAAAGCTTGTATATGGAAGCAGATGGGGGTGCTTGAAGATATAGCATTGTCATTTATCTCCAGAACTGAACTGGGTAAGATATATGGTATCCTCAGCTCTTGAAGAAAGTAAATTCTAAGTAAGAGTAAGAATAGAAATCTTAAGTGTTCAAAATTTTATTGACGAGGAACAGTTTAGGATAACTGAATACTATATTCTAGGATACCAGATATTTGGAACTATAGTACACTTTTTTTTTTTTTTCCTTTTTCCTAGCACTGGGGACTGAACCCACGCCTTTCACATTGAGCTATATCCTCAGCCTTTTTAAAATTTTGAGACGAGGTCTTGCTGAGTTGTGCAGGCTGGGCTCAAATTTGTGATTCTTCTGCCTTAACCAAGCAGAGTTCTGGGATTACAGGTATGTGCCACCATGCCTGGCTACATTTTTATTTTTAAAGTATGATTTCAGAATTCATATAAGCAAAATTAATTTCAAACCTGTGGGTGAAGAATGCCACCAATGGGAAATTCCTGTCATGTGTTTTTACAAAAACATTCTGTACCAAGAGATTTGGACAACAGCTATGCTGTAAAAAAATTTAAACATAGAGGTTAGATACAGATAAAAGTTCGATACTTTGTGCTTACTATTAGAATACTATTCTGTTTCTAACACATCTCATTGCCTTTTGTTTTCTTTTTGTGCTAATATATAAAATACTGTAACTCATGACAGTTAATAACAAGAACCTACTCAGAACCTACTCTGGTGTTTATTTTTTATTTTTGAGGCAGGGTCTTGCTATATAATTCAGGCTGGCCTTGAATTCACTATTTAGCCCAGGCTAGCCTCAAACTCTCAGCCATCCTCCTGCTTCGGCCTCCTGAGTACTGGTATTATGGCCATGCTCCACCACCCTGTTCAGAAAAGCTGTTCTGAGACTTTGATATCTTGCTGGTAGAATTTGAAAATAGCACCCAAAACTGGGGATAATGTCAGTATTTATCATTATTATCAATGCATTTATTTTTTGATTCACCAAGCCTATATTTAGGAATGCATTCTACAGATTCATCGGCATATGTATCTATAATTTATTCATAGAGCATTGGTTTTAACAGTAAAGGTTTGTATATAACCCTAATGTATGCCTACAGAGGACTGCTTAAATAAACCTCAGTATATTTACACAATGGAATTCTGAGCAGCTATAAAACAGAATATACAAAAAAGAATAAGGAGCTCTCTCTTTGTACTGATATATAAAGCTCTCCAGGATATACCTTTAATTAATTAATTTGGGGGGGGCTTTTTTGAGACAGAGTCTCGATATATAGTTCAGGCTGCTCTTGAACTCACTATGTAGCCCAGGTTGGCCTCGAACTTGTGGCAATCCTCCTGCCTCAGCCTCCCAAGAGCTGGGATTACACATGTGCACTCCTATGCCTGGCTTGTACCTTTAATTTAAAAAATAAAATGTAGGACAGTGAATGTAATATGCTATCTTTTACGTAAAAAGGGATAAACACACATATTAACTCTGCAGAAATACTAGAAGAATACACAAGAAAGTAATAAAAATGGGGACAAGGTGGATAGGGACATAGTACTTCTTAAGGTAGGGCTTTTAAATTATTTTTTTAAACAGTTTTCAGGGAAAAGTGTATTTATTTTGTTTTTTTGAGATAAGGTCTCTATATAGTTAAGGCTAGTCTTGAACTCACTTATGTAGCCCAGGGTGGCCTTGAACTCATGGTGATCCACCTGCTTCAGCCTCCTGGGTACTGGGACCAAAGGTGTGTACCACGATGCTAGGCACAAAAAAAATATGAAGAATATATACCATACTAATGTACCCCTGTAACCCCAGCACTCTGGAAGGTTGAGGCAGGCGGATCACAAGTTTGAGCCCAGCCAGCCTGGGCACACTGGTGAGATCCCATCTCAAAATAAAAAAGGGCTAGGGATGTAGCTCAGTACAAAGGCCCTGGGTTTAATCCCCAGTAATGCAAAACAAAACAAAACACACACTCTTACTTCAATTTTTACATCCTAGTACAAAACAGGACCTACAAAACAGGACCTCTGGAGGGGAGACACATAAACAATTGATTGCTTTGCTAAACATAGCCATTATTTATACTGATGATACTCCTTCCTCACATTACCACCATTCCAACATTCCAATACTGTTCAGTTGCTCATTAGCTGCTATCTCAAAATACTCATCTGTCATAGGACTCATTCCGATGGCAAGTCTACCATCATTTAATTTCAATTACTTCCTGACCATACATTTTTTTTCAACTTGGGGAGGTAGGGTTCAAAACCTTTTAATATACTTATATTCTTTTCTTACACTACTGTTTCTTAGAAGTTATTTTTAAGTAAATGTTTACTAGTCAATTTCAAGCACTTTATATTAAGTTATTTATTCCTTACAACATCTTAAACAGTTACTATTCCTAAATTATAGAGGTAGTAAACCAGGCATTAGCAGTTCAGAAACATTCCAGATACACTATTTGAAGAAAGGAACCCTAATCCAGGTCTTCTGGCTTTAGAATCCGTTAATCTTATTTTCCTCATGACATTTTAAAAAGAAGCACAGGGAAAAAGTTGAGAACTATCAATCTCAGCACCTATACTCACATTAAGGAAGCGGCCCACATTTCCTTCTTTTGTGGCATCCAATAAAAACACATTCCCTTTACTGGACTTCACTGGAGAAGTACCTGAAGTATTCTTGGTTTCACTTGGCAACTCTTCAGACAAGACCTGATGGATTTGATGCGCTGGAGATTTTTCTTCTTGGGGCTTTTGAATTTGAACCTCAAACGGTTTTTTAATATTTTCATTGTCAAATGTGGTTGCTGGGTTACATCTGCCCCCTGGTGGAGTTTCTTCTCTACATTTAGTTATATCTATCACATCTGATTCATGTAGCTGGTTATCTTCAGAATCTCCAACTTGGTTTGAGTCCTCTAATAGACATTGTCAGGAAGGAATGTCAGGAAATATATGTGACTGAACAACAGTGCCGAGATAAATAATGCTAATTAGATACTAGTTGCTTTATTTATCACTAATCTTTACAATTTGTTAAGGTAGGTAGTACTACTTTAATTTTACAAATAAAAAATTTGAGTTTCTGAGAGTTAAACAGATTTGCCTGACTTCTAATACAAGAACAGACGAAACAAACTCAAACATGTTTGGATCATAAAGTGCCCTCTTTTTACTACAGAGCAGTATCTTTTTTTATAAATCTATAGGCTGCTTCCTCATTACTACATTTAATCTCTAAATCTTTTTTTTTTTTTTGGTGGTACTGGGGATTGAATTCGCGACTTTTCACTTGCCGGGCAGGTGAGCCACGGAGCCACATCCCTAGCCCTAATCGCTAATCTTAACAAACTTGACTTTCTTCAACTCCGAAGTTGTATTTAACTACATTCTAAACAGATGCAACAGAGTGGGGATTTAGGAGGCAGTTTAGGCCTCTGATGGCCATGAAAGGCCTAAGACTGTCAATCACTCTACAAATCCCTATAGTGACAACTGTGCTGTGAGGGGTTTGTACCTGTTCATGTTTGGTGTTTTGCTAGAAAATCATTTAATAAGTATACTTTTATAAACAATAATGCTTCAAAAGTAGAGGAAATAAATTATTTTCCTGTCCAATAAAGAAACAATTTTCTAGGAGTATTCAAAAGCATGAATGATTGTCAGATGAATAAGTGAAAGTATCAACATAAAAAGCACTTGTGTCACCTAATACAGGGGCACAAAAAATTATATTGTAGCTAAAAAGGTAATTATATTTTAGCTAAAAAGGTAATCTCACAGAAGCTAGAGTAGAATATAGTTTAGAGCCTGGGAAGGGCACGAGGGGAAGAGGGTGGAAAGAGGATGGTTAACAAGTGCATGGGTGCAGGGGGGAAGGAGGAGTAACTTCTAATATTCTATGTAATGTTGTCTATATATTAGAATAACTTCCAATGTTCTAGTGTTCTATAATGTTCTATATACAGTACAGCAGGTTAACCATGGTTGGCAAAAATTAATTGTATATTTCAAAATAGCTAACAGAGGGGCCGGGGATTTAGGTCAGTGGTGCCATCACCTGCCTCACAAGTGCAAGGTCCCCAATATAAGGAAATGATAAATGGGGCCCAGGGATTTGGCTCAGTGGTGCCGCCGCCCACCTTGCAAGTGCAAGGTCCAAAGTTCAATCCCCAGTACCAAAAAAAAAAAAAGAGATGATAAATGTCTGATTTGATAAATATACCAATTACCCTGATCTGATCATTACACATTGTATGATGTACTAAATGTCACTCTGTACCCCATAAATATATGAAACTACCATGTGTCAATTAACCCCCCCCCAAAAAACATTAAAAACTACTAAAAAATCTTTAAGGTATTTGATTTACTCAGTAATGTTATGGCTGTTATTTCTACAATACTTGTATTTTAATCAAAGGTTACTTGTAGGCCATAAAAGTTATGTAACTACAACACTGGACTGCCGGCTATATATGCATTGTAGCTGTCAATGAAAATGGCAAATAAAATGAACGAAAAACAACTTATTATGGCTCATATAGCTTAAAAGGTGAAATAAATATAATATAGAAGATGCCCTTTCTTAACAGAACTTTTCTGTCAAGGAGCTGCCGTGCCGCCCTCATTCTCTTATGTTTAGTCCTAGGTGGGGAGCTAGAGTTGCAGATAAAAGGATCCTCAAAGGGAAAAGAGGCAGCAACAGTTAGTTCCTCAAAGAGAGACATCCCTCAGCAGTGTCTCTGCTGAGGGAGCCACTGAAATGCAAAAGTACTGCAAACCAGGCTTTTCCCAGTTGTACCATTCAGTATGGCAGGGACTGAAAGACAAACACTCAGGTGACCAATATTGTAACCCTTCACTACAGTCATGATAAGTATCCTCTCAGTGGTGCTGCCTGGACTACCACAAAAGAGATCCATCTTTATGTTTAAGAGTTCAAAATTAAGAGAAAGCTGCTTTGGACAATGCCTCCAAAGCCACAGACAATATCTGAGGACCATGCGGAATCAGAGATGTGCACCATATATCAGGCGAAAAGGTGAGCAAACTTCTACGAAGGGCCAAAAAGCAAACATTTTCAGGCTTTGCTACAATGTAGTCTCTTTTGTAAGTATTTTACTCAGCTGATATAATGTAAACTAGAAACAATATGTAAATGAATGACTCTGGGTGTATCCCAATAAAACTATAGCCACTGAAATTGTTAATTTCATTTAATTTTTGAGTGTCATGAAATATTATTCCCCTGATTGTTTTTCAGCTATTTAAAAATCATTCCTTCATGGGCCATAGTTTAAAGGTGCTAGGCCAGATTTGGCTCACAAACCACTGTTTACCTCCCTGATCTGAACAAATTATAACTTTTGTGACAAATGAAAGTTTGTAATGAAATATAAGAAAAAGAAGTACAGTATGGAGCAAGAGGGTGACAAGCAAGCAGAGGAGCGAGGCAATCACAAAGTGGAACAACACCTACTTTGTTTTCTCCTGGCTTTACAATTCCAGAATCCATTGTTTTCTCCCGAGGTGACAGAATCCAAGGAAATAAATCCCTTAAAAAGTAAGAAAAAGATTTTTACATTCTAGATCAGGAAAAAGTATTTAACAGGCCTCTTTCATCATGTATCAATCATCATAGTCTGTATGTACTAGTTTTGAAAAGCATCAAAACTGAGTTCATAAGGAGTCTGTAGATGAATGGAGCCAACATGTATCACTCTACTTCTAGGCACTTTATTAATCCATAGCTACAAAGACTATTAAGACATCCTTTGGGCACTAAAATCCAATACATGTCTGTATCTCTCAATTTTTCATCCTCAGTACTGAGAAAGTGCTGATACAAGATTATAAGCTTGGGTTTAACTCTAAGTTGTACAAAGATAAAAAAACCACTGGCTAATTTTTATTTCAAAGAAAAGATTAAAGAAGTTGCCTGTCTTTATGCATACTGCAATCATTTTTCAATGGTAATGGTAACTTTAAAAGAAGGTTATATTTTATGCTTAGCACAATGTTCAGCACCCAACTAATAGTTGAATAAATGTTGACCATTATTTTTTTTCTTCAAGTTCTTAGCATTTGAATTGTCAACATTTATTGAACACTCTGAACACTCAGTTGAGTGCCAAGCATTGTGCTAAGCAAGGTTTCTAATGTTTATCTAATTTAATCCTCATAACTCTGAAATAAATACTACCATCCTCATTTTACAGATAAAAGAAATGTAGGGAGATGTCACCCAGCTAGTAAACAGCAAGGCTGGAGGTTAAACTCAGATCTGTGGGACCTAATGGCCCCATCTTTTCATAAATCATGACACTGACAAAGTTTTTACTGTTACTAGGCAGAGGACAAATACACAATATGTAAAGCAGTTTTTATTTTTTATCAGTAAGGCCTATTATAAACTACCATTATGTTTGTCTGTTCTTTTTCATATTTCTCTGTATCAAGTTTCAGTCTTTGACTAGTCTTCCAAGCTCAGTCTGAAAAATGTATCCATCACAGGCTGCCCCATAAAGTGCTTTCTGGATTATTCCTGTATAAAGTCGCATCTCTTCATTGTCCTACCTCAAGACTTTCTTCTTAACCTAAATTACTCCATGATTTTTCTTATTATATATCACTCTTCATTTTGAACACTTTAACACTTCCCATGAATTCTCAGACCCAGACAGCTCTCAAGTCTCCACGAACAACACTGTCAGGTCATGACCAAAATTCTCTTCATATACCTAAGCTGGAAACATGCCAACTGCCAGGGACAATACTAAGTATATAAAACACGTCTTAACACCTTCAACAGCCTAACCATTCCAAAACAATACAAAAAATCCTATACACTGTTTAGTAACATAAACATTTTGAACTAAGTAAAGGCTCTCAGAGGAGCCTCCATCTGCATTTTGTAATTTTTACCATCTTTTTTCCATTCTCTTGAAAAGCAGCTGTCTTGGATTTAGGACTTCTAATAACTGAATAATATTGAATTCTTGAAATATTATTACAGCTTATTTCCCTGAAAAGAAAAAAAGAGTTATTTGGTATAGTGCTAAAAATTCCCTTTATTGAACCTTGAAATTATAGGCAAGATTACTGTTAAATATCATTAGAAATTAATTTATGTAGGGCCGGAGCCTTAGCTCAGTGGCACCACGCCTGCGCCTGCCTCACAAGTGCAAGGTCCTGAGTTTGATTCCCCATACCAAAAAAAAAAAAAAGAAATGAATTTATGTAAAAACAATTATGCCTACACCTCACTACTGAAGAAACTGTAATCACAGTTCAAAGCCAGTCATTTTTGAGGTATGTTAAAAAAAGTAAAAAGAACCTATAAAAACTTTGGAAATAGAATGATGATATAAAATAAAAAGAAAGCAAAACATGGCATCCATGAAAAGTAAGTACCCTGGATTTCTCAAAGTGTAGTTTATAACATTGGAAGCAAGATGATACACAGGAGTGGGAAGTCGGGAGTTAGAGAGGAAGGAGAAAGAACCACTCTTGATCCATAATTTAGATTCAACTTTACTAGGGTTCCTAAGCTTTTACTTACATCACAGGCTCTTCTGGATTATGACTGAGGTTAGGTGGACAGTTCTCAGTTTTAGCACTTCTAGGATGTGTTTCCATTTCTAATGGGCCAACTTCCGCCTCACAATCTGAATGTGCAACTTCTATTTTCCTCTTTTTTGAAAACATATTTTTCATAATATTCTCTTTTCCATTTTCATCAGTAGCATTAGGTTTCTCAGAGTTAGCTCTGTTCAGTAATCTTCCTAAAAGAAAAAAGTAATCTGAACAAGACAGAAGATAATGTAATTGCTAACAGCAAATGAACATCTCTATATCTGCTCCATGACTAAAGGACCCTATGCTGTAACTTATTTCTAGAATGAAGATAAACACATCAACTTATCCCAGAAAACAGTTGCAAGATACTTAAAACAAACACCAATGGGGGATTGATCCTTCTATCCATTAAAAACAATTGAGTATTTGAAAGAAGCATGTGTCCATTTTGGTATACCATAAAAAAGGATATTTAGCTACTGTTATGGTTTGGGTCTAAATGTCCCCCCAATGTGGTCATAGGCTTGATCTAAAGTGTATGAAGCTGGAACTGATTCATGATGCAGTGCTAGGTTCAAGGGCACTACGATCAAGGGTGTGAGTACTACCTGCCTTAAGTAGTCTGAATAAAAGGGGCAGAGAAGCGCTGTTAAAGCTCTCTCATCACCTTTGCTACCTGTGTGCACCATGTTCTTTCTCCTCTCCAATGCCTGTTTGCCATCTCTTCCTTGGAGCCAGGTGATTATGGACCGAAACCTCTACAAGCTATGAGCCAAATAAACCCCTTCCTTTGGGTGTTAGGTATTTTGTCTCAGCCATGAGAGAAAAGTAACACAGAAATTGGTACCAGAGAAGTGAGGTCATTGCTGTGACACTACTTGGCTATATGGCTTAAAAGCCTTTGGAATTGGCTTATGGGAAGGGAAAGAGTTAGGAAAGATTCGAAGATGTTGGCTACAGAAGCAGCGCTGGGACACCTTAGGCTGTTTTGTATGGAAGATTCTGGTCAGAGCTCAGAAGACCAGAAGGCCGGAAAAGTCCAGGCTCAGGAGATTTCTGCTAGGAAGGACTGCATTGGCTGTTGGACTCCAGATGATGTGTTATGGCTTGGCAGAAAGTTTGTCTGGATTTTGTTTATGTCCACAGAATTTGCCTGAGACTGAGAATAGAGGCAGTGGACTAATTAATCTTGCAGAAGAAATCTCAAGGCAGTCGAATATAGAGGCAGTGGCATGGCTACTGTTGGGGGCTTTTAGTCAGATCTATGTTGAGAATCAAGAGAAAAGAGCCCAGCAGAATGATTTAAAATATTTTGAGTTTGGCCAGAAAGGAAGCTCCAGAAAAGCTGTAGACTGCAAAAATAGAGCAAGGGAGATCTTTATTGCTGAGAAGGAAGAAGAAAATAGAAAAGATGGCTTGAGTGCATCACAGGAAACAACAGGACTCTATCCTTTGCACCCTCAAGAGTTGTAAAGGTGAAAGAACTTGCTTTGAGAAGAAAGCTCCAGAGCACCAGGTTCCAAAATAGCAGTAGCCCCATAATGTTCCAGAATGGCAGCGTCCTAGCGAATTTGTTCCTTGGGATTGGGTTCAGAGTGCTCAGTGATCCAGGCACTTGAACCCTACAGCCAGGAGATAAGGAAGCCTGGTTACTACTTCAGCTGGCAGCAAACCTTGGCATCATCCACATAGTGCTGGTTTTAGGTGCATGCAGAATGGAAGAGTTGTATTCCCAATGATGAATGTCATTGTATTATAAACCTAAAATGTACCAATAAACTTAATGAATAGAAAAAAAAAAAAAAGAATGGAAGAGTTGTAGGGTCAGGAAGGCTTCCACCCAGATTTAAGAAGGCCTGGGAAGCCATGCCCCTGAGAGAGCAGTGTGTGAAGCTGTGAGTGTGAAGCCAAAGGTGCAGTTGAGACCCCAGAAGTTTGGAGAAGCCAGGAGCGTGGATCTTCGGAGGAAAACTGCAAAGAGGGAGCAGAGTGAGCCCCAGAGAGAAGCCATGGGAGTTACAACCACCAGAAGTGCCATAGGGTTGGAGCCACCCAAGCCCTTTGGAGTTCATAACTTGCCACAGACTGCCTCGGATGTTACACGTGGAACTATAGGACTTAATGTTTGGCCTACTGGATTTTGGACTTACCTTGGTCCCATTCCTTTGTATCCTCCTGTTTGTACCTTTTGGAATGGTCATGTCTATCTTATGCCATTGAATGTTGTAAGTGCTCAACTTTCAATTGTACAGAGGCTTGCAACTAAGAGTTTGCTTTAAATCTAAGAGGAAACTTTGGACTTGGACTTTTCAGCAATGCTGAAACTGTTAGGACTTTGGCAGCTCTTAGAGATGGACTAAATGCTTTTTTGCATAAAGGGATATATGCATGAGTCTTTGGAGGGCCAGGGGTGGAATATTATGGTTTGTGTTTAGATGTCCCGCCAAAGCCTCATGCAGATGAGGTAGAACTTTATTTTTCAGAGGTGGTTGACTCTGGAATGTGTGATGCTGAGGTTAAGAGCATGTGATTACTAAACCACTACATGTGAGTGATTAGTTTGGCACCACCCTAATCCCTGTAGTCTGGAAGAGATAAAAGAGGCAGAAAGATGCTATTAGGCTCTCTTGTTGCCTCTGCTATCTTGTGTATGCCATGTTGTTTCTCCTCTTCAAGGACTGTGTGTCATCCCTATGTTGGAGCCAGACTATGGACTGAAACTTCTACGAACTGTAAGAAATTTAAACCTCCTCCCCTCCAACTTTGGGTATTGGGTATTTTGTCTCAGCAACAAGAAAAAGGTAACTAACACAGCTATAGTAATATAAAATAAAAATAAGAATCAAAGTATTCTAGATAGAGGTGTATAATAGACTTAAAATTGCAGTTTTTGTGTCTAGTTAGAAAGGCTCTATCATTTGAAAGTAACACTTGTTTAGAAAATGATCTATTTTTTTCAGTAGTGATAAGTACCTATTGTTCTCATATCAAGTCCTGCATGACATTAAAATCTTAGCCTGAAGTTTATGTATTTTCCCCTAAGAAACTCAAAATTATAGTTACCAACTCAGAATTACCAGCTGGATATACTCATCCATCCTCAGTAGATCAGAGAGATATCTTACATACATTTTCTAGGAATGCAAACACAATCAATGATGCTTCCTAGACACCATTGGCATTTTATAGGCAGCTTCAAGAGTTATTTTGAGAAATATGAGATATGAATGTCTAGGTACGTTTTATAGTATATGTACACATAGGTCGTGTGCAGCAGAGATCCGAGTCTGACTACTCTGAATTCTGGTTACTCTGTGAGCTGCTTCTTGCTCTCTCTGGTCTGAACCTAGAATTTCAGATGAGCAAGTTGGTCCAGTCCCTGCTCATCAGCTGCCAAGACTCCATCCAGCACACTTCCTTTAGACTGGCTTTAAAGCCATATTTCCCAGCCTTTCTCACATGACTAAGAAATGTGGATTTTTTTACATCACAGAAATGAGGATTTTTTTGTCTGACATGCTGAAGTGAATGGATGATATAACTGGAGAACAACATATATGGCTTTGGAAGCATGGCCCAAAAGAATCAGTAAATGCACAGTTGTAGCACACTGCTTAGGAATGATAGTGGATAACATCTGGAGTCCTTGAAACAAAGTGAGTTAGTTAAAGGTACCTAAAAGGCCTGAACCATCATATGCAGATGTTTGTTAAAAAATTAACTTGTTAGCTGGGCACCATGATGCACAACTCTAATCCCAGCCCTCTGGCAGGCTGAGGCATGAAGTTCACAAGTTGTCCAGTCTAACAACTGAGGGAGATCCTGCCTCAAAATAAAGACTGGGGATATAGCTCAGTGCAAAGGCCCTACATTCATTTCCTCATACTGCCAAAAAAAAAATTATTCTAATGATAGCTCAAAACATTGAACAAGAATCTTTGATAATCTCTACTTTAGCAAGTCAGTCACTGACTTATTTTAAAAAAGTTTTTCTTCTTTGGCTCTAAAATTTCTATAGCCGTGGAGATAAAAATGTGCCTTGTACATTAACAAGCCCTCAGGTAACAACTCAGCTTTGTTCTTTGAGCCTTTTTTTTCTGTCACCTCTGGTTCCTCCTAGGCATTTCATCTGTTCATTAATCAAGTACCAGTGATTTGCCTCCTCTGACACTTCCCCAAGATCCTACTGCTCTTTACTCTTCTGTAAGATTTCAGCCTCAGCTAGGAAAATGTATATTCAGAAATATATATCTATTGGAGAATTAATTAGAAAATAAACCTTTGTTTTACCTGAATAAATGCAAACAAATGTCCCTTTGTCAATATCATCTAGGCAGCGTACACCCCATCCCTTCTTCTCAGTTTTGAACACCTGTAGTCTCACTTGAGGACCATGTTGGACAACTCGGTTTTGACACATTCGTGGGTCACACTTGCACAACAGGCTACATTCATAAATCCTGTCAAGAGAATAATGCATAGAGAAAATCAGACTCCCCAACAAAGCAAAAACCAGCCTATATTGTTACTTCACTGGCGCAGATAATTACTGACAGAAGTGGACTAAGTATGAAAGCTCTTAGTGCTAGTGTTAAGACTGCTTGGGTTTCCAGCATAGCTTCCACATTTACTACCTGTGGGTTTTTTTTTTATCTATTTAATTAAATTTAATTAATTAATTCTTTCTTGTTTTGAGATAGGGTCTCCTATCTAATTCAGGCTGGCCTTGAACTCACTGTGTAGCCCAGGCTGGCCTTGAACTCCTGGCAGTCCTCCTGCCTCAGCCTTGGAGTGCAGGCCAGTACCACCACACCTGGTTTATCTGTTTTTTTAAAATAGAGACAATATAGTAGTAACTACTTCACAGGGCCATTCTGTGAAAGCAATTGCGCCAATATTTACAAGATACCTGACATAATGCCTGGTACATAGTAAATATTAGTTCTTTTAAATGTTTAGGAATGAAATGTCTCAGAGGAAAAATTCTCTATTTCTGTTTCTAAAGGTGCTATTTGGTAATAGAAAGTTTGAAAGGGTGAAAATTACTAAGTCTCACGTGAGCACTGAGAAGTACATTTCTTAATGGAGAAATGGCTATGTGAAGTAGGTCAATCCTACAGGGAAGAGTAAGAGCCAGATTCAAAGCAGATGAATGTTTAAATATTCTCTGCATTGCACATATATGTTCCAAGATAAAATACTGGGAAATTTTTGTATTATTATTCCTTAATATTCTAGATTTTTGTTATTAAATTTAAACACCATCTATCAGACTGTAAACCACAATAATTAAGTACCTCCACCTTTCCAGATACAAATACCCCACAATTAATCTTACCCAGTAGGTATTTGTCTCTGCAGTCTTTTATACTTATATCCAGTAGTTATTTCATCACTTGACAAGGAAAAAGTTTTGGCATTCCTTGCTGTTAGCTGAAGACATGCACATTTTGTTCTAAAAGGTAGGCAACAGAGAAGTCAGAATTTTTAAAAAGCCAGGTTAATTGATAAATATGTAAATGATGTAATAGCATCCATATGGTTTATAGACCATATGGAAATGTTTTCCCTAACAGAATGGACCTCTTTGCAAGACAACATCTACCAAAACTTTATAAATATTTATACACTGCCCTGTGCATTTATCTGCTCATGAAATATTCAACTATATTGGTTTTCTTTATTCAAAATGAATATTCTCATTTATTTTGTCATCATTTTTGTTTTGCATTTTTTTGAGGCAGGATCTTGCTATGCATTTCAGGCTGGCTTCAAACTCGTGATCCTCCTGCCTCTCTTCCTCCTGAGTACTGGGGTTATAGCCATGTACCACAACACATAATTATTTTCATTTCTTATTCAGCAGAAGCTTGTGAATATTCTGCTAGTTCTGCTCTTCTACAATGGATACACAAAAGCATAGCTTTGCAGATGTCCTTAGTTCTCTCTCAATCCAGTAACAAAATAGATTGGAAGGATTGATGCTGGGTATCTAGCTAGTACAGTTTTTCAATTTGTTGCCAGACACTTGTAACCATGAAATTGAATCTACATATTTTTCACGTTATTCAGATGATTATTTAACTTGACTGGGACTCATCCCCCATAGAAAGTAAGAAACCTGGATATCCCAGCTAATGATATGTTACTATTGGTAAGCTGGTTAAAATCTCTGGATTTTCATCTTTTTGGCTGAATAAGTGACTTTACACTGTGTTCCTCTATGAGTCACTTCTGTGTTTCCTATAATATACATAATACACATTGGAGTGATGGCTGCTGTTTGTAATAAAAGAAAAAAACCAAATTCATTAATTTGTACTGTTTACAGATGTAAAAATCTATAGTTGCTCCCACAATGAATGCAACCATGTACTACAAACATGGACTAATAAAAATTTTTAAAAATCTGTAATTGCTTTTTACATATCATTATAGTTGAAAGGACAGAAAACTAACAAATATTTTTTCATCACTCAGAATTAGTTATATTTTGTCTAGTCCATCTTTCTGCTACATATATACCATGTCTATAAATTTTTTTTAAAAAGCACTACAGATAAAAATGAAGATGTGGCATCTTTCATACTCATATACACATATATAGTCCAACAACTTACTTGTTTCAAAAAACTTACTATCAGCACTATACCACAACTTGTTTTTTGTTCAATGTAAAGTTTTTCTTCACCCACTGGTTTCTTGAGACAAGGTCTTGCTATGTAATCCACAGTGGTCTTAACCTCCTCATCCTCCTGCCACAACCTCCCAAGCACTGGGATTACAAATGTGTGCCACCACTCCTAGCTCAATATAATGTTTCTGAGACTCATGCAAGTTATATATAAATTGGGTTCATTCTTTTGACTTTTCTACGGCCTTTAGCTATTGCCTACTTGGTTCACAGCTAAGCTGCGCACAGGTTTTCAATGTAACAGTGCTGCAGTCAGCATCATCATCATCATCATTAAGCTCATGCGTAATCAACTTGAAGGGACTGGCTTTCAAATATGTTTGACTATGACCCACAGTAAGATAAACATTTTCTTCATGATTTTTTTCTTTTGCCTAGTACAGGTAGCTGATTTTGTATTAAATATAGTATATATATAATGTAACTTCATATTTGCATACCCTGTAAGTACATATATATATATATTATATAACATACCCTTAAAATGTTTCTTAAAATCTTAACATATTAGAATGTGGTTTCATTTTTTAAGGGAATGTTAATATTAATTGCAAACATCATTAACATTCTAAAAAATTAGCCAGGAAATGATTTTTAGGTATTTTTGGGGGTTTTTTTTGGTACCAGGGATTGAACTTGGGTCCTTGGGCTTGCACAGCAGGCGGCCAAACCACTGAGCTAAATCCCAGGCCCCTAGGAAACGATTTTTAAATAAAAATAAAATCTAATATATAACAATGTTTAAGAACAAAGGTTTGCTGGGTGCAGTGGCACAAGCCTATAGTCCCAGCAGTTTGGAAGGCTGAAAAAGGAGGATCACAGTTGGAGTCCTGCCTAGGCAACTTAGCAAGATCCTGTCTCCAAAATTTTTTTTTTAATTAAAAGGGGGGGGGCTGTTGGTGTAGCTCAGTGTGAAAGCTCTGAGTTCAATCCTAAGTACTGCAAAAAAAAATATTGGTGGGGCCGGGGATTTAGCTCAGTGGTTTCACCGCCTGCTACACAAGCACAAGGACCCGAGTTTGATCCCCAGTACCAAAAAAAAAATTGGCTTAACCCAGGTGTGGTGTGGTACAAGCCTGTAGTCTCAGCTGCTTGAGAGGCTGACAAATGCTTGAGCCTACCAGCTCAATGACAGGCTGGGGCAACATAGTGAGACCCTGTCTCAAAGAAATTAAAATGTTCAAACTATTTGGCCTACGATGTATCTGAATTCATTTCTCTGAGCCTCACTTGTAACACCTGCCGCAGGGTTTTTGGAATGAAATAAGAAAGTATGCAAAGTAGCCATCACAGTGTCCAGCAGTGTTAAATGACATTCACTGTTATGATTATGGGACTAAATTAAATATTCATTCTTAGAATATTTTTCAAATTACTACATTTGGCAGTTTTCTTTCTTACTGCAAGTGAGACAGCACCTTTTCTTCATTTTAAATTCTTGGTGAACCAATTTTTTGGAGACATATTAATACACAGTAGGACTTCTTGACAAGTGTCTCTGCATTCAGAATATTTTTTGAAATGTCATGTTTTTCTACTCACATGTCTATGCAGCCCTCAGAACAGTCACAGGAATCAGTAAACATGTTGGAAAAGTTGTTCAGATAATACACTGGTGGCCACATAGTCTTTCTGTACTTAAACTGTGGAAGCTTTCTATTGTCAATTTCATTACAGAAAGAAATGGGTACTAATTCTGCACCATTGCTAATATCCACATCAGAAACAATTTCTTCTTGCTTTTGGTAATTCCGAGTCAACTGAACGTAAGTATTAAAAGAAAAGTTATCTGTAAATAAAAAGTTACATTCGGTCTCAAGCAGGTAACGAAAGACTTCCTCTATGTTCCGCAGACTTCTTCCACAAGGAGCTTTATAACTCACATGAAGTGCTGAAGAATGAGAGTTTGTCTTTGCATGTCGTCTTTGGAAGTGACATGTGATTGGTAGTTGCAGAGGGTTTTCTGCCTTGATGGTTGATGGCATTTTCATCAGACAGGCACCAGAACAGTCATGACTTTGGTAAGATAAATTCATAGGTGATTTTCTCTCTCTATAGTCTACAACTTTATTTTCCAGAGGGAAAACTGCATTATTTTCTATAGATCTGTTAAAACAGATTATTTATTAGTATCTCAAATCTAATTCAATTCCATATTTTTGGGGCCAGGGATTTAGCTCAGTGGTTCCACTGCCTGCCCTGCAAGTGCAAGGACCCGAGTTCGATCCCCAGTACCAAAAAAATTTCGTATTTTAAAAAACACTGCACACTAAGGTGATAAAATTAAATATTATTACTTTCATGGACAACAGCAAAATAAACCAGATTCTGAAATAAACATTTTAATATGCTGTACCACCATCTAAACATTATATGTAGTTAATTTCAGAATACTCAAAGAAGGTATAATGATAGGTCTAACTTTCAATGAGATATTTGAGAGCCCCTAAAATATTTAAGTTTGCATTCAGTAAAGAGCTGAGGGAGACACTTTTTCAGGCATGCTTGGTTCAGTTTTTTTGCTTGCAAAAACCAGTGAAGACTTGCTGGAAAATTATTAATTTGTCAAGAATTCTTTTACCTGATTTGTTTGCATCTAACAATTGTACCGACTGATTGCTTTTCCATAGTATGTAATTCACTAGCAATCACACCAACATATCTAAAAATGATTGTGAACTGACTGATAAAAATGGATGACTACTGATTTTAAGAAAAAAGAATCTGTGAGAGTCTATGTTTGGTTCTCAGCCTTTAAACTTCCACAGAGAACTTGAGTTTTGTTTTACTTTCTCTCTTTAAGTGTCCATTATGTTATAGGTATTTTAGCATTTAAAAACACTATCTTTGTAAAGCAGTACTGTCCAGTACAGTAGAACTGTCTCCCTTGATGGCAAAGGTCTAGGCCTGCACTATCCAATAGCCAAAAGTCATATATAGCTACAAAGCACTTTAAATGTGGCTACTATGACCAAAGAATGGAACTTAAAGTTTTATTTAATTTTAATTAGTTTAAATTTAAATAACCACCTGTGGCTACTGGCTGTATCTTGGATGCATATAGAACATATATGGAACTTTTCATTCTTTTTTTTCAGCTGCACAATAATCCTCTAAATAATTTCCAAAGTTTATTTAACTCATTCACTACTGTTTCCAATTATAAATTATTATATGACAAATAACTTTGTATACAGCAGTTTCATATATGTAAACATATTTCTACAAAATAAACTCCAAAAATAAAACATGGGATGAATGCATTAGTAGTTTTATTAATATTTTTGAACTATTCTCAATGGTTCAGCTCCTTCAGCAATATATGAGATGCCTACTCTCACAGAGCTTCATCAATCAACGTCTTGATGGTTTTTTATTTCAGACAGTCTAATAAGTGAAAGGATGTATTATATTTATAAATCTCTCTTTTTTTTTGGTACCAAGGATCGAACACTGCCTTGTGCTTGCAAGGCAGGCGCTGTGCCACTGAGCTAAATCCCCAGTCCTATATTTGTAAATCTCAAGGTTGGAAATGTTTGTTTCAATTTGTCTCTGTGTTACTACTTTGTTGAACATTGAACATCCATATATATAAACATCTATATCCAGCCTTGACTAAATTCCTGATCTTACCATAGGATACCTACCTTTAAGAGGAATTACTTGGTCTTCAGGAATACACATTTTAAAAAACCAACTTTTTATTAATAAAACTTCCAAAAATATACCAAGACTGTATTTTTCTCAAAAACACAGATTATACTGCACCCCTCACGTGGCTCTCAGTAAATAAAAATACTGGCAAATAAGGACTGTTCAATCCTTTGCATTAAAAGATAACCAAACTGGCATGATTTTTAGCAAGCTCAAGGTCATGTCCCTAAGATGCCCCACACTCTTTCTTAAACTGCTTGCTTGAAATCTCAAGCCAATACTGAGTTGTTCAAGCCAACATTGACAAGGGGTAGATACATTATTGATCTCTTTTCCCTTTCTAGAACATTTACTAAAAAGGGTATACAATAGTATTTTTCCCCTCCCTCTCAGATTTCTATGTATCTCCTACAACTCAGTCTTCCTCAAAGATGTGAAAGCCAAGCCTTTGAAATTAAATGAACAAGGAGAGGGTCTCTATAGCCCCATGTCGGTGGAAGGATGGCATTCTAACTTCCCTGATAATGATGTCAATTGCCAGCTAGTAGACACAGCTGGTAGGGTTTATACTGACCAACCCTTTGTATCTTTCAGCTGGGCTCCATATGCCAGGGATTTAGTTCAGTGGTTTGCCGCCTGCAGGCGCAAGAACCCGAGTTCGATCCCCGGTACCAAAAAAAACAACACACACACACACACAAAAAAAACATATTGCTTCCTCTTTCTACCCTTTCATAATTCCTTTCCATAATTCCAGAGGAAAGTCTACTTACCCCTGCACAGATGAGATTAGAGCTCAGCTTTTCTCTACTGTCAGTAGTTCTTAAATAAAATTTTCCTTCACTACCTTACCTAAACTTGGCATTATTTGCCAATAATGTTAAACACTTGTTACCAAGTTTCAATAATAATCGACATTTTTACCTATTTTTGTTCATCTCTTCTCTCTCTTGCCCCACCCTGAAACATACACACACTTTTTGGGGGGGCAGTATTTTAAAACAAATTCCAAACATCACATCTTTTTACCTGAAATGATTATATATTTCTAGCAGGAATATATATATATATATATATATAAAATCTCAATGATCCACCTTCATATTTTCTAAAATCCAGTCAAGTCCCACATGCTATATTTGGCTCCAATGTCTTTATCTCTTTAATATTATTAGCCTTGTACCCCTCCTCCATTTTCATCTTACGAAATTTATTTGCTGAAAATTTGGCTGATTCTTTCTGTGGTGATGACATTTAATTCATTTCTGTATCCCCAGTATTCCTGTAAAATTGGTAGTTCTAGAAGATTAAACTGCATTAAAATTAGATTTAAGATAAAAACTGGGGGGGGGGGAGCATAAGAATAGCACATAGGTAGTGTGTGAATGTCCTGATGCATCACAGCATGGAGCATACAATGTCTGATTGTCTCATTTTCACTGTTTCAGATTGATTAAGTAGGTTTGGATATCTTCAGCCAAGTCTATCCATTTTAAAGTTCCTTATGCATGTTTTCCTTATTGGTTTCAGCATTCTCTCATCATCACTGCCTAAGCCAGTGCTACTCAGCTATGGTGGTGCTATTCCTCAATGGTACCAATCCATGATAAGTGAAAAATTTAAAGTGCAGAAATTTTTGCAGCAATTTAACAACGCTGCAACACTGTATTGCATTTTATGAGTATTGCTCCTCTATAAAATGAATATTTACAACAAGAGAAAATGCCTGTTTTTATCAGTTTGGGAGCACAGTCCTAAGGCCACCATTGGAGGTGGGTGGATGGAGTATAAGGAAATAGAAGTTTCAAAAATAAAATTTTCTGATTCATTTTTTATTGAATTTTCTAGCCTGCAAATTTTTTTATAAAGGAATTTTCCTCATTTAACTCTTGGAGAATCCTGACATAACAGTTAATATAGGAAGTGCTATAAATGTCTTATATGTACTCTATCAGTATTCATAATAATGTGCTACATACTAAAAACAGTCAGACGTGTGTGTGTGTGTGTGTGTGTGTGTGTGTGTAACTGAACCCAGGGAGCACTAAACTACTATATATCCCAACCCTTTTTTTTTTTGAGACAGGGTCTCCCTGTGTTGCCTAGGCTGGGTTTGGACATGCGATCCTCTGCCTCAGCCTCCAGAGTAGTTGGGCCTTCTAGCTAAATGCTGCTATACCCACCTCAAAGTGACTATGCTTAAACAGCTATTGTTATAAAAAATGAATGAATTTTTATATATTAAATGTACTTAAAGTCACTATTCTTTTTTTTGGGTCCCAAGGATCAAACTCAGGACCTTGTTTTTGTGAGGCAGGCGGTGGAATGGAAACACTGAGCTAAATCCCCGGCCCCAACACTATTCATTTTGAGGTTCTAATTGTACAAATTTTGGCCAGTGGGAGCTCCTTCAAATTTGTTCCTTTATCTAGGTTTGATAGCTTTTTGTTATAACAGATGCCAGATCTGGACTCAGACATTGCTCTGGGAGCCATGACTCCATTTAGTAAGAATTCACAAGTAGTGGTCACAATCATAGTGTTAGGAAGTATACACATTTTATTTTAGTTTGGGTTTTTTTTTGATACAGTCTCACTTTGTAGCGCAGGCTGGTCTTGAACATACTGCGTAGCCCAGGCTGGCCTCAACCTCAACGTGATCCTCCTGCCTCAGTCTCCCTAGTGCTGGGATTACAGGCATGCACCACCACACCTGGGTAGTATACACATTTTAATCAACACTGCTTCCCAAATTCCCCTTCTAAAAAGGCTAGACTCGGTGCCTGCCTTGCAAGTGCAAGGTCCCGAGTTCGATCTCCGGTACCAAAAAAAAAAAGGCTAGACTGATTTACACTTTCATGAGCAATTGTAAATGTGAGTCTCAATATTATCTGAAACCACTTTGATACATTAAAAATACTGTTTTAGGGCTGGGGATTTAGCACAGTGGCACTGCACTTGCCTCGAAAGGACAAGGTCCTGAGTTCAATCCCCAGTACCAAAAAATAAATAAAATACTATTTTATTTCTTAAAATGTTTTTCTTTAAGTAGGGAGTTTGAACACAATTTCATATTTATTAGTCTTTTTTTCCTTCAGAGAATTGTCTATTCATATACTTTTCAGTTTATCTACTGAGGGCTTGTTCATTCATTTCATTTATGAAAGACATTTTTGGAGTCCTTGAGATTGAACCCAGCCATTCTGCTTGCTATCAGTGAGGTATATCTCCAGTCCATTAAAGATTACTTGAGTGCTACTAACATGCTAGGTACAATGGAAATGATAATGAAAGTTCCATGACCTTAAGGAGGTTATATTTTAGGTACTGAACTATTCATGATAAAGTGTAAATAACATTATGAATAAAACTATGATACATGCTATGGAAACAAATGAAAATACATGTAACCTTTATTATTGTTCTGGCTTTTTAGGGTTTTAATGATATAGTTAGTTTTTCTGTGGTCTGGGAGTTCCAGAATTTATTTTGATGTACCATGAAGATCTAATTTAAAACTTGCAGTTGATATCCAGTTGTTCAGATCATTTTTGTTTTTGGAAACAGAGACTTGCTATGTAGTTCAGGTTGGCCTTGAACTCACTACCCCAGGCTGGCCTCAAAATCATGGTAATCCTTCTGCTTCAACCTCCTGAGTGTTGGAATTACAGGGGTGAGGGACTGTACCTGGCCAGATCATTTTTGAATGACTGTTTTCTTTTACCCTTTACTGTTGACTTAGTCATATCTTGTGTTTTTTGTTGGTTTGTGTTTTGTTTTATGGTACTGGCTCTGATATTACCATATCTGAATTTCTTATGTTTTCAGGATAACCCTGAAAATATTTCTTTAGTATTAATTGGAGATAATGATTTTCTATTAGTAGCTTCTTTTTAAAGAACATTAATTATTCAGTGCTCTTAATTTTTTCATTCACTGGCCCTTTTCTTTTACATTTTGGATACTCTTACTGACCTTTTAACACATTCCTGCTGGCTTGAACCACTGGTGATATAAACAAATCTAATCTCTTTTATCAGTCTTTTTACTAATAAAATTAATAAAAAGTCTATAAAT